GGGAAAGTAAGATCTTAGAAATTAGATTATGCTTCCTGCTTCCAGAGAGAGTAGAAGAGAAATGGTGAAAGAGAGAGTGTAGAGCCAAAATAGTAGAGAGAGAAAGTGATGGGACATTAATAAAGAGAAAGGGGAGAAAAGATAAGTTAGAGGGAGAAACGAAATTGGAATTAAGGATATGTTTGATGGTTATTATTAAGAAAATAATGTATTTTAAATAGTGATATGATGGGAAATATATAGTTAAAAAGTAAGGAAAAATTATTGATGTGATAGAAAATATTATTTTATTGAAAAATGTGTATTTAAAAATAAGTTTTGAAAGAATGTATTTTAAAAGAATGTGTACTAAACATGGATTAAATCTAGCTCTGAATGGGTTAGAGGGTGGTGTGTAATTTAATTTTAGAATATATTATTATTATTATTATTATTATTATTATTATTATTATTATTATTATCACCTAATTTTTGAATAAACAAACTTTCAACATGTTTTTTTGAATTATAATCTTTACAAAAATGTGCATGTGTAATTTCTACAGGTGGGTCCCTCTTTGGTGTTAGCCCATTGACGTTTTTTCGAACAAAGAGACGGCAAAATCTACCACGAGTGTATGCGTAAATAAATCTTTGATTTTAATCAGCAAAATAATGATTAATGATCTAAAATTTATTATCTATTTGTCCTTCATTCTCCAAAAAAAAAAAAATTTTTAAATTCATTTTCAACCATACGTTCTTATAATAAAATATTTTGCACATGAACCCATTTTTTTAAAAAAAAAATTACAATATCAGTCTCTATCATTTTCAATTTTTTTGCAGATTTTACCATAACCTTCATTTTGTGCCAGCTAGGTCCCTTACATTTCATAAATATGCAATTTGAATCCAAATGGATGTAACCATTAGCTAACCAAGCAAATCAAAATTTGATTGATTTTGACCTAATTAAAAGGGGGGAAATGGTAAGTTTAAAATAAATAAATAAATCAAAGGAAAAAATTGTTTCTTCTTTACCCAACCTATCCTCCACATTTGAAAATCAGCAACCAACATCGGACGACACCACCGTCGGTTATATTCTTCCCCAACACCCATTCACGCCCATCCCCAAACCCCACTCAAAACCAAATCATCGCCGCCAAATCCACGGCCGCCACCACCTCCGCTATCATCTTCTCCACTGCTAAATGAAACCCAAATAAAAAATTCAAAATCTACGAATCTGCAGAAATCAGCCTCTCCATCGCCGACACCACCATCCAAACCATCAGATCTACACATCACCGGAAAGCCCTCATTCTCATCTATACATCCCACCCAACTACCAGAAATCAAATTGGAAGAATCGCCGTTCGGAGTTACCCTAGATTCGCTCTTGTCGTCGCAGTCCATCACATCAAGATTTTTATTGAGGAATTGAGGGAGTAGGGGCTAGGTTCGAACGATCCTCATCTAGGTACTACCCTGCCATGCCACTGTCTTCACGAGGCCAGTC